CGGATGGGCTGGGATAGTGACGCGATCACGCTCGGACAGGGCGGAGGGGTCGAGTTGCTTCTTCTTTGGTGTGTTAGCGATAATAAAATGCTAATATGATTGATAATCTAGCATACCTCCATAGGGCTATCTGACCGATAGTTGAGGCTCCAATAGTAATCGAGATTAAAACTTATTAATCGCAGAACCGTGAGATTAAAAAGAATATCCCATCTAGGGATTAATCCGCCCCAACTGTCAAGCCATTTTCCAACAGCCACAAGTGGATGGCCTTTACCTACCTGTGATACAGAAGACGACCACGTAATTATTCTCGCGATGTCTGTATATTGGTACCCATTTGACAATTCATTTGCAAATAATATGCCAATGTTAAAAACCCATGTTGCCACTGGTATCTTATTCCGTGGGAGTTTTGTCGCAATATAATAATTGATGACAAGAATTGCAACAACCTTGGGAGCTGAGAAGCCATGCAAGGCAACGATAGCTACCAGCGCAAAATAATAATCGTAAGTGACTCTGCGTTTTAGCCTCAAATCAGCGGATACAGTGTCAAATCTGGAGATCTCATCATCTTTTAATTTGCCAGATGGAGGTGAATTGGAATTTAAAGGGAAGAAGGTGTCAATAGCTCGTCGAAGCAAAGGATGGATGACCAAGAGTAAGGCAAGATAAGGAATGTTATCTCGAAAAGTGGAATATTGTGAATCAGAATTATCCTGCACTAAATCATCAGCGAGCTTCAGGACCGATACAACCCTCCAACCGCCATCAATGGAGGGCTGAAAAAAAAACAAACTCACCACTTTTCTTCCCATTATCCACCCATCCTCCAAAAGGTGTGAATATTTCGAATACATTGGATGAGACTCTAACAGAACGAAAAGAATAATAAGTCAGCCTATAATCCAATCAAGTCCATCCAAGATATTCCACTCAAAAACAGCTCTTCCCGAGGAATGGAAATCCAAAACTAACCCTTCGAAACATCGTAGACAGTCTTAAACATCATTGGTACCGCAAGCAGAAACGCGATATAGTAAACGTAAAATTCGACTGTGTTCCATCGTGGCGGGGACGCAGTCAATGAGGGACCAGAGCTAGGACTCCCGCAGTCCTCCCCTGACTGCGTTTGTGTTCGTGTCTGCATCCCATTCTCACTCCCACTCGCAAGCCATCTCGAGACAGTCGGTTCTAGCCCCCCATTGCTTGTAGATGATATTCGAGATTCAGTGCTGTAGGCAGACTTTAGCGGCGCATTGGCTGAGACCATGAAGCGCGAGTCAAGGGTGTCAAGGGAGTAGAGTTTGCGGAGCCAGTAGAGGAGGCCCATATTTCGAAACGTAATTAGGTATTTAGCTCGACAACAATGCCAGCATCAGTTAAAGTCGATGGGTGGTTGAAGCGACAACAAGCTGGAAAAAGAACGGGAAGCCTTAGAAAAGGGGTTTTCTGGCAATATGAGATTTTTGTATGAGGATTTCCATGAACTTCTCAGAAATGGAGTGACGGGGATCACCAACTAAAGCATGATTTCTGTAAATGGAGTGCGTGGCTCTGCAGAATTCCCTTCTGAGCATGATCAGGCTGTTTGACTCAAAGGTCAGCAGTTGGGATAGGCGTTGTTTGCGGAAGACATGGCGGAGATGCAAGGGGTGAAGTTGAGCAGTAGGACACGTGATTGGGCTGAAGGCCTAAGTGCCGCTTTGAAAGTAACCATCACAATATTTTCAATATTTAGAATTGTAAGCGGAATCAATAAACTTCTGGGAATAATGAATGTTGGTCAGACGAGAAAGATAAATTTACAGAATATTTTATCTTCATACAATTACTCTCAGGACAAGAATGATATGATCAATACGAGCGTTGATGGATTACAAATTGGAGACATCCATAAGCATTTTTACATTGCTTTCAAAATCTAATCGCCCTTCTCCATGCAAACTAAGCCACAGATAGAGATGTCCAGCTTGGCAATCAGTGAAAGGAAGCTTGGAAGCCATAATTCTCATACATTCCGAGCCACTTCCAACAGCTGTTTAGCACTGCCCGTCGTTTGGATCCCCGCTACTTCCCGTTAGCATCAATACTCATACAACTTGAAATCAAAGGAAAAGAAAAGAAAGGGGAAGGGGAAAAAAAAAGGGGGGTGGGAAGGAAAGGTGGAGGGAGGAGGTAGTAGGTTAACTAACGTATATTCCCAGTTTCCATATCTAGTACGCCCTCCACGGTCACATCCCTCAATCTCCTTTCTCAATCCATCATAGCACTCCGCAGCGCCGATATTGCGGTTTCCATTATTGCTAATCAACCTCAGTGAAAAATCGACCTTCTTGGTGCTATCGAGATTATAGCACTTAGCCCTGATGTCGTTGGGTCTATAAGTACCGACTAAGGCTTCGTTGCATGCCCGCGTAGCAAAATTGATGGCATAAGGCCGACCTGCACCCCAGCGAGCGCCACCGTCGAAGCAATTGCGCTTCGCGATAACGGCTGTGTCCGGGTATGCGGCAATACTGTTGGTTTTCATCGGGAAGGCGGATGTTAGGACCGCGGGGATGACGGTCAGAATGAAAGATACGTGCATAGTTGCGGAGGAAGATGGAGTTGAAGATGAAATTCTGAGTAGTTTTATGTTAGTAGGCTCTTTGAATGCTTCAAGATTATTATGTATTTGCAATTTCTCCTTTACCTATGGACGGCAAAACAGAGTTCCCTTTATATAACCCGACTTCGACCATGCTGCTGGACTGCGTCTTTTTTTTTTTTTTTTTTTTTTTTTTTTTTTTTTAAAAAAAAAAAAAAAATTGGTTATCCAATTCGTTCTGTGGCCTGGTCATCTCGATGAACATAGAACTGTTCTTAAAATAGAAATCGTAGTGACGATGGTGACATTTGTGATACCTGTCAACTCTGCGGACAAGAAAGGCTTCCTGAAAGGGCTGAATAGGGATAAATTTAGAGGTATGGATATCCTCCTGGGAGGATTCCCGCCCCTGCTGGGTTTGGGGGCTGCATCGAATCCGGCTGGGAGTGTTTGTCGATGTGCAACAGGATTCTAGGGGGCTCGAGAAATAAAACTCCCAATAGTCCATCCTCCTCTTTACTACCGCAAGATGTAATGATCAAACATCAGCCTGGTTATCACCATGATCATTGCCTTTCTCCTGCTCGCCATATTTCTGCTTCAATTCCTCCCTCCTGCTGTGAAACAATTCGTGATTCTCATCGACAACCTTTCTCGAGAGCTGCTTAGCCTCGTTACTTAACGGGGGTGGCAGGATGTTCTTGTTCGGCGCAAACCACAGTTCTTTTGGGACCTTAGTTCCATCCACGCCGGTAAACTCAGCTTCATTTACAAGCCCAGCCGGATAGCGACGTATGAAGGCTGCGATTTGATCGGGGGTTAAACCAGCCGCGTCCACGACGTCGCGATCGGCAGTCAGCGATCGTAGAACCCCGTCCCTACCCAGCGAGGTGCATCCCATGAATGAGAGATCTTGTTTCAAGCCGTTCAAAATCGCGCTTAGTTCCCGCTGAATGGGGTCTGTGTAGTACCAGGAGGGCATTTCACATCGAGGTGCGTTCTGATGCGCCATATCTATGCTGTTAATATCTTTCCTTCGCCAATCTGTTTATTGATATCCGTTGTATTGATGGTTGAGTCACAATTGATTCTTTGGGCTCCAGAATTGGATGTCAGAGTGCGAAAGGGTTTGGAACCGAAGAACGAAAGTTTTTAGCGTGCTTTTCCTTATGGGTAACTTACTTCGTAAAGGCTACCAATATTTCGAGGCGGCAGGGCTGAAAACCGTGAGAAGTTTAATATCTTTGTTCCACGAGGTTTTAAATCCCGGCTGCAGCCGTGTTATTATATCCCCAAGTCTATAATTAGTTACTATGCATTGGGTAGTCAGTTCGTGCGAATAACAATCGCTGTAACACCTGCAGAGTAGAATCTTCCATCCGAGCATCAGGCATCTTGAGAAACCCGTCAACCCATGTCAATCACAGCCCCCGAAGTTATCCACTTCCAAACCCAAATAGATTAAACGAAATATATATCGGTTTACTATTAAAAATTGTTGACAGCTTGACAGCTCCTGAGCAGTGGAACAATAGCGCATCGCGACAGAAACTTCAGTGGGCTGGGAGATGTAAAAGCTTATCCATAATAGCATAGCAACCATTTATCAGTTTGTCTTGGTACTCTTCACATCTCACGTTCATTTGGGAAAAACCAACATCTAGTCAACTGAAAACTTAATCTCATTAAAATAATGAGTTAATCTCCAATTACTAAATTTTCAGCAGTCACATGTAGTTCAACTCTTTCTATCATGCAGCATAACGAGTGTGAATTGCCAGTTTTATGCAGCAGCAAAGGATCATTATGAGCCTGCAAAAATCCTTTCCAGAGAGAATAAAAAAAAGGGCAGGGTTTAACAAATAGCCCCCAATAGGGCGATTGTGGGCTGAGGTTTCCAGCACCCGCTCCCAACACTTTCAAGGTAGCGTGGGACAGAATACCATAACTCAGGAGGAACCAGAGGTTGCCATGGTTCGTGCCATGAAAATTGCATAAGAGGCAGACAACCTGTGATCATACACCTCTTTTCAAACCCACAGCTGCCGGGGGGGGGGGGGGGGGGAGGGGGTTGACTGTGCATTCGTAGATTTGGAATATAATCTGATTGGTGTCGATTCTCAGACTGTTCGCTGTAATTAATTTTGGAGAAGAATCTGAGTAATGGTGTTGAAGATAATGGCTTGGCTGAGTTCCCATTGCTATTCCTGCCCTCCTCAATTTGATGGCTAGGAGTCAAATCTGATGCTTGACTATCCTCCATCCTGCACGTATTAACAATGGATTCCAGGATACATAAAGACCCTCCATTTGGCAGCTCTCTTAGATTTTACTTTCTAAGTCAACAGCAACGGAAACAGAGAATAAGACGTATTCCAGTAAACCATTCAGATCGTAAGCCATCACCATGCGCAATTCGATCCTATTATCAACTCTCCTCACCTTCTCCACTGTCCTTTTGGTAAGTCATCAATAGATAAGAATTCCCGAAGGCAAGAAACTCACGTTCCCTCTCCCTCTGCCTCTCTCAGCAGACCGCAACAGCCCTCCCAAACCCCCCAACACCAGACACGGACACGGACACGGAAACGGACACGGACAGGGGCACAGGCACAACCCACTACACCCCCGGCTCCCTCGCCCGGATAATCGAAACAATGAACCTGCACTCTCAAGGCGCCCTCAGCGTCGGCAACGACGGTGTCCTCCGCAGCTTCACTCCGAACGGCACTGTGCTCGACTACTACCAACTCGACCCAGACCAACTGTCGAGATTCGCCGTGAACCAGCTCGCAGCCTGGGAGGCGAGTGGCATGAACGTGCCGGAGTCAGTTGTGACACTGGCAGCGGCCAAAAAAGGCACTGTGGATGGGCGATTAGTTACGGATGTGAAGAGGTTGTTCGAGCTGGAGGAGAGGCCAGATATTGCGAGCGCGATAGCTGGTGATGGAGATGGGCATTTAATCCCCGATTCAGCTGCGAAGGAAAGGAGAGAAATGTTTGAGCAGTTGAAAAATCACCCTGCAAAGCGGAATTGCGTTGGAAGACCGTGTCCCAGTCTCTCTGCTTGCTTGCCAGACTGCATGGCATGCTTCTTCCCTGGTGGGCCGCCGTTTGGTGTATGTTTTCTCACCTAGTCAGCGGGATGGGGTTTCTTCAGATTTCTTCTATTCCTTCTTCCAGTAGAGAGAATGTATGGTTTACTGGTAATTATTGTCTGAGGAATGTGAAACATGTTCCCGGCAGACGGAATGACAGTATTGAAACTTCAGTTGGCGAAGATGGAAGTTGAGGTTGGGAAAGCAATGGGGGTTCAATATCACGTGTGGAGAAAACCTAGTTAGTGCCTTCGTCCTCGTTGATTCATCTATTTCATTACTTTGAAAATTTTCTTCATTAGATATATTTCTCCTTTTGGAATGCAATTCAAATAAACCTTCATTTCTTTCTAAAACAAAAGTCACTTGAACAGCAAACATGTCCGCATAATGATTTCCCATCCCACGAATGTCAATTAAACAGACAAACGGAATTACTGGGGAACTGAGCAGTTAAGCTCATCTACTTCAAGCAGAACAAACTTAAATACAATGACGGACGATTGAAAAAGTGAAATTAAAAGAATGCGGACGGTAAATCAATTAGAACTCCGTTTAACTGACTATGCAAGATACAAAAAAAGAGACAAAAAACAGAAGAAAAAGAAAAGAGAAACGCCATCCGCTATGCCCAAACCACCCCGCCAAATATGCAGTTTTATGATTTTGTCTGTTTTTTATATGTAAGTTTGAGTGGAAAGGATATGGAGACGGGGTATCAGAGTGGTGTCTTCAAGGCTCGACAAACGAAATGACAGAGCAAAAAAGGGTTAGTGCTGGTAACCCCACCCTGGCGAAAAATTGTCGATGGATGGATAGTGGTTTACAATAATTCAGTATTTGAAAGGGTTCCTTGTCCATTTAGATGACATCCTTTCTTTCCCAGCCAGTGGGTTTGATTATCTCGGCTGTCTTCGTTGGATGAGGCACATCGGGGTTATCGTACTTCGAGGTATAAGGATTTGGATCGACGCTGGGCTTCAAATTGGCCAGGGTGTGGTTGACCTCGCAATGCTTGGCTTCATCGGCACGGACATAGTACAGCAAGTCCAGAATGGTTCTCTTGTTTTCTGGCATGTGCCAGTAAGACACGGCAATATCTGGAGCCTCTTTGTTGGCCCACTCGGGCAACTTTCCAGCTTCGAGGTCGTTAATTGCGTGTGTGTACGTCATAACAGCCTCCTCTTCGAGGTATCCGACGAAGCGGTGGCAGGTCCGTGGGGAGATGAGGTATGCAATGAAGAAAGTGTTGAAGAAGACACCCTGGGCTCCTAAAACCATGAGCCGCATACACCATCCTGGTTCAGCGAGTTTCAGGAATGATAGCAGGTGCATTCGCTCGTTGTATGCTTCTTCTAAAAGAGTTTCGATCCTAGAATTGGAAAGAAAACCGTCAGTATATATATACTTTGCAGCAATTCTGGCGTCAGGACAATGTATTCACAGGAGAAGATATTAGAGACATACCATCCATGATCCCGCTTCATTCGTCTTAAGCTTCGGAGATGGCGGAGCATACCACCAACCATTCCAGGGACACCAGCAACGGTTTCTAGAAAAATGAACCGGATGATCCATTTCTTCTCCGTCATAACAAATCGCTCATTCTTGTCCGACTTCCCGGGATGTTTGTAACCTGTTGCCAGATCTGTAGCCCAGCGCAACATACGAACGGTTCCCAAGGCAACCCAATCGGACCAGGTCTCAGCATTTCGATGTGCGATGGCAATACTCTTCATCTGCTGTTCGGTGAACCTAATTGGGTTTATGGTTAGATATATCTCAGACAAAACGGGGGCAGAGCACGGTTGTGTGTGATCACAACAGCATACATTGGATGTGCCCATGTTGTTTCAGACTCGACAATATGCTTTGTTCCACTGAGGGCTGGGAAATATTCTTTGGCTCGTTGACGGGGAGCTGCTGAGAAGCACCTCTTGCTCCCAAGGGCAGTGTTATAGTAGATCAGAGGACTACTACACTGGAGACCTCTGGAAAGAGCGGTTGATTGACCGAATGAGCCACGCAGGATGGACGAGGCAGAGCGGGAGAGAACAAAGGTTCTCATGGATCCTGCGGAGATCGAATACATGGCGAGCAGAGGGATGAAACTATGGTTCTCAAAAGGCTTTGAATCAGGCCAAATTCTTGACAAAGACAGGTGATATGGTAGGTAACAGCTTATTATCTTGTTCAGCTTCCAAAGAAGGGATAGAGTGAGATGCAAAAGGGTGGGTGAATTTAATTAACTATCAACAATCAGCAAACAAGAACAACAAATAAAACCTGCAGAGAACAGCCTGAGGTTGCGTAATAAATAGGTCAGTGGGGCTGCCAGGTTTTTAACCAACTACTAGCAAGCAAGCATCAAAATCTGATTCATTGCTTGCTTCATCAAGCGGTGACTTTTCGGGAAACAGAGGTCTAGGTATTGATTCGGCTTATGGGCTGGCTGTCTGTCTATCTCCAACCGCGCTAGTGGCATAATTTCCAGGATTTAATAGCTACAATAGTTACTTCACTAGTTAACTAGCTAGATAACTTTTGCTAGATGCATTAGTCACATTCTTAGTGTCTATCTGTTTTAAAGGGCACCGGTTGATGTCGGCGTCCCCCGGATCTTGACTCCTTCCAGACTCCTCCTCGGGGTTCCGCTTTGGACACCGCCCTTTCTCGGGATAGCTTGCCGATCCAAGCCCCCAGTCGTCAGCCTTATTAGATATCAGCTGCATGAAGTTCCACTACAACAACTTGCAACAAGACACAAACGCTTCACATCGAAATTTCACAATCACAGTTTTCCAAATCAAACTCTCGAGTAGAAATCCAAGTAAATTACGATGGTTTTAATCCGTACTAGCTAGCGGGGTCCATTGTTTTGTGTTGCTTTGGTCATTCCTAGGGACACAGTCATGGACAGGGGGCATTTTACAGTTTGCTACAACGATCTGACTGGGAGCGCTCGGAAACTTCCGGGAGTGTGCCGGCTGAAACAAATGGCATACAATAAGGGATCACAGGAAAATAATGGATTTTTCTCCGCAATTTAACTTGGTACATTGTTATTAATGGGATCAAATATGCTCACTCGGACAATACGAAAACAGATGAAAGCACATGAAAGCAAAAAGAGTCACTACTAACATGACTCATCCTTGCTATATTTGCATCGATTTCCGGTGCTTCTTAATTTAATCGTTTACGAGTTCCAGTTTCTCCCGATGGCGGTGGCCAGCGTGATCATAGAGTTTTTCCATACCACATGGACCTGGATGTTCGACCAACCCCTCTAAACCTTGGAAAACTACGCCGGTCGCATTATATATTCGCAACACCGTTCGGTAATCGTCGAAACTACCGGGTGTATGCCCAATTAGTTGTGGTTAACTAGTTGGGAGACGGTTGACAAATACCTCCATTCAGCCCGCAATCACTTGACCTCCTTCAATACACCAGCCACCAGCCACCAGAAGACTCAAGGGCAGTCGCTGAGTTGACATTCCTACTACTGATTTATCCAACTAACCCTGTCTAATGATGTTCCATGATAGGAGTTGGTTTGGATTCTCCACAGAGCATACATTGTGCATGCGCTGTACACAATAGAGCTATTTCGTGCGGTCAATGATGAATAAACCGGCGGCAGGCATGTTTTTGCTACGTTACAATCCAGATGATTGGGAATGGAAGCGTTGTCTTCTCTTGGACGAGGTCTTCAACCGAACGCTCATCCGCTTCTGATTCGGTATTTCCACAGTTTGCCATCGATAGGAGATGTCCGGGTTGCATTTCGAGACAGAACCGTGGAATTTCTCTTCCCGTGCAAATATTTTTCCGGTCCATGGTTGATGTCCTTGCGGACTGCTGTCGCCGGTGGTAATGTGAGCTCACAAACAGACAAACTCTCTGTGGGAACCACTAAATTTGCGAAGGCAATGAATAGACGCCGTTTGGGCACTCTGCCATCGTGCATCGAGAATCCTCCCTGTTGTCCTTGGTTGACAATGAGATCAGGATCGTTTCAAAATGTGCCGGATGTCTCTTCTTGGGAAGGAGAATTATTATACATCCCCCCCCCAAAAAAAAAAAAAAAAAAAAAAAAAAAAAAAAAACACGTCTACAATATTAAATCTACTAGAATCTGCAAATATTTGTGCTAGCTGTGATTTTATACATAGCAACTTCTTTTAACTTTTCTCGTACATTAGGGACAAAGGCTATCTTGTCCTGTTGTTATGTTTTAGAGAGAGGAATCCCATGGTATGCAGTATGCACCGGTAGACATGTTGCATACTGTAGAAATACAGGGCCGATGTTTATCAAACAAGACCTCTCTGCGTAATTATGTCTACGAGCTTACCGAGCTAACTAGTTACGTAATAATGTCAATTAACTAGTTTACTGGTGTATTGATGTTCTACGGTTGCAATAACGGAGAGCTAGCTTTTTTAAGGTTTAGTGCACGAACCAATCTTAAGGATTTTTCTCAAGTTTCATCGACATAATGTCACGATATCCTTGGGAGGTCTAGTGGGCCTAAAAATTAATTATCTTTTGGCGCAGTTGAGTTGCTTCTATTTATGATTTATCGCAGAACGGTATAAGCGGATGTTGAGAGATATGTTGAAGGGATTGTGAAATCGGAGAGTTTGTTGTTGGCCTTGAATATGACCCCGCCATGGAAAACTTGGGCACCACGCCAAATGAACCGTGGCACATTTAAGAGTAGAACTCAGAGTGGAGAGGAGACATACGCAGATGGCCGATATATCACCAAAGGGACTAAACGATAAAATGCCACTTCAGATTCCCAGGCTTCCGAGCGAGAGGCCTTATCTCATATATAACAATCAATTCTGTGCGATGCAGTTAATTTAATCGTGGAATACTGATACCTGGTCCATTAGAACCGGACTGGGCACCAATGTTGAACATAATGCACAGAGATAGTCATCACAATTGTAGCTAGCTCCTATTCACGACAAAGGAAGTTTCGCCATCCTTTGGCTCGATGTCTGATTTCTCAAGCTTGACGACCTGTGCATGTCGGGGTCCCCGATTCAGGTCTTTGAACAGCTTCGCGAGAGAGGCTTCATCGCCTTGCGCTTCTCCTTCCACCTGTCATGTATGTGTGAGTCTTGTATGATTCATGCATAGGCACATGTATGTAAAGGAAGATGAAAACATCTTATTCTTTGGTTAATAGAATGGAGTTGAAGCAAAAGGGGTCTGATATCATGTAGGACGTAATACGAAGAGAAACGAAACTGTATAAGGAACTAAAATAAAAGGGGGGGGGGGGGGGGGGGGGGGGGGGGCTGAAGGAGGGGCCAGCTAACCTTCCCATCTTTGGTATTCCTAACCCATCCAGTTAAGCCATAGCTATTTGCATTTCGCTGGGTGAAATCACTAGTTTAAGGATTCAGCACAGTTCCCACGATTAATATAAATAGGCAGATTCCAGCGTGAAGAGGAACTGTACCGGAAGCACACTCCTGACAAGCAGATACGGATATATATTAACAACAAATACTCATTGCGCCTGATGAAGTTGCGTAATTGAATATTTTAGCGTACGGAGCACATGCCTTGAACTTTGCCATGGATACGAAATGAGATCTAGATCTTATCAGTGACATTCATGATGCTGAGATGGAGGTGCATACTCGTTTCGACATGATGGAGTTGGCAGAAGAACAACACACACGCAAATCTTGATGCAAAACATGTATCCCTAAAACCGGACCAATACAAATTGACACCAGTTTAAAAGCTCAATTCACTGAATGTGATTGATTAATTCCCAGAAGCCCTGGAGTTGAAGATAAGTGGAAAGGCCAAGAAATGCCTGCTGACTACAAAACACAATATCGGAGCACGGTCGAAACTCTAATTGGGCACGGCTCTATGTCACATGATCAGAGACACGGCACAGAGAAGGCGCTAGTCCCAAAACGACAATTCATCAATAAACGGCTTGGCGCCGGATATCCGAGGAGAGAAAAGGGGCAGAAGAGGCAGACAACAGAGGAGGGACACGGGGATATGGAGATGTGTTCGGGGGGAGCAATTCTATGTACTTCTATTATCTATCTATCCATCTATATATGTATCTATCTATATGTATAAATATATACATACATACATATATATATATATGAGGGAGCTAATGCGCCATAAAAGTTGCGAACCACTGAAATGCGTCTGGCATACCCTTTTTAATTGCTCTCTATAACTACCCCTGAGTTTTTGCCCTTGGCTTGCTGTTGGTTTGACTTGCGGCCCGGCGAGTGCTATTCTTAGCTTAGTCGACGCCCCTTTCCACTCCAACCAATTTTGTGCTCTCCACCTGGCTCCGGAACCCAAGTACCACCAACAACAGCAACCATCACCTTCATGACAGAATGCTTCCAAATAAATATTATTAATAGTCAGGAAACAGTATATCCATTGTATTGTTTAATCTAAGCCTTGTCTTACATATTTGTATCTATTCTTCAGGAGCACCTGGGCAGTCTCTTTTTCTTTTCTTTCTTTCATTCTTTATTTTAATTCACTAGGCCCGTCCGCAATCAAATTCTGCCTTATTTACAATTGTATACAACACCTCGATAACTTATCGAACCATCCCCCCCCTCCCATTGTGCCAGAAAGGGGAAATCCTCTTAGAACCAAAACAAAAAAAAAAATAAATAAATAAATAAATAAATAAAAATGTCGGATCAGGGTGACCAGGCACCATCTCCAGCCGTCTCTCGCTCTCCTTCCCTCTCCCCTACTCCAGCCATCTCTTCCTGCCCTTCCCCCGACCGCACTTTTTCCACCGTCTCCTCCATCTCCAACTTCTCCGGAGATGCCAAATCATCCATATCCACCTCCTCGCGCAGACGAGGCTACATTCGTCCCCAGGTTGTCGAGTTCGCACAATCCGCAAGGAATCGTGAGAGTGTCATGAGTCTAGGCAGCATTGCCCATTTGCAATATTACTTTGCGAGAACAGGCCTGTTGGATGGCAAGGGTGGGCAGTTCGCCAAGGTGGGGACGAAGAAGGAGGAGCAGCAGGAGATTCCCAAGCTCATGTTGACCCCGCAGCCACAGCTAGGCGGGGATTTGGTTGAGAGTCCCATTGATGATAATATGGCTGGTTGCGAGGAACTTGGGGACGATGGCTGGGATGAGAATGAGCCTGTCATGTTACCACCCACGGTCAGTACGTACAGCATCCGCAACCACTATATACCTCCCCCTCCAGATTTGGAATCCTTGAGGAGAGATCTGCAATCTGCCTTGGAAAAGGCAAGGTTTGTGTTAACGGCGGCGAAGGAGGAATTAACTCCTCAATTGCTCTCTCCAAAACCAAGGGATCGTTCGCCAGATGGACTATCAGACCCGGAGGACGATGTGGCGTCGGAAACACCTACGGCATCCAGGTCTCCGTGTGGTTGGCATGAGATTGAGGGTATGCACATTTTGGATATAGTTACGCTCGCCATCCGTGCGGCGAAGATATACTACACCTCTCATGAGAATCCGGATCGCTTAGCTTCGATTAAGAGTGAGCGGAAGATACGGGAGGAGCTACTTCAGATTTTGGATGTGTTGAAACGGTGGGCTACGAGGAATTTTGCGGGCGGGCTGAAGGAGGAGGAGCGGTCACGGATTTTGGAGTGGATTACGGGAGTGGGGGAAATGCTTGATGAAGAGGTGAAACTTGAGGAGATTGAATTGCAAAGGCGATCAAACTTTATCTGGGCAAATGTGGAGTGGGATGGGAGAGAGCACGAGCAAGCGGGAGCCTTCCTCCAGTTTCTGGAGACGGGTAAACAACAACTGCCCGCCTGGGAGTGCGCGGATAACACCCCCCTTCCCTCACCGCTTCTAGAACGTCTTAGGGATGGCAGGGACCTGATACGATTTCACAATCGGGCTGTCAAGCTATCACGACGTCGCTTTGGTGAGATCAAATCGTGGCATGAAGACGTGGGTAAACCGTATCGCCTGGCGGATAACCTGCGGTATTGGATTAAAGCTGCTGAGATCCGGTGGGAGATCAAGCTTGATGTGGACGTGATGGCAGTGGTCCACAACGAGAGCGAAGAAGCGTGGAAGAAATTCGATACTGCACTAATGACTTGGTGCAAAGGGGTGAGAGAAGAGTTGGTGCGCGACTTTAAGGAGCAGAGGTCGCATTCCACGACATCCCTGCAAGCTACATCTCCAGCTGTAGAGCCCGCCACGCTCTTGGTGCCGGGGCTTGGGATTGACGGCTTATAGTTATAGGATGGGAAAAACAATAGGAGTTTGGCAGGTGAGGGGAACGCTGCATGACCCCTTCTTTCTTTGATATTCTTTTTATTAACGAGATTCACGATATTTTACTGGTACTTCCTGTCGAGTTACCACCAGTGTCTTCTCATTTGATACCGTTTTGCCCTCTGCATATATATTCTCCATGCTCTAGCTGCTGCCACCCCCTGCAAATTGCCTGGTGTTCTATTTTGGACGTGCCTTTGTATCGTCTCTGCCGCCCCGTCCCCGTCCCGGTCCGCTCCATTTACTTTGGAGTTATATAGTATATATATCCATCTTATCGGCATTCAGCCCCTGCGATATCCCGCCTGTTATACGTATTTACATACATACATGGAGAGGAAGGATATTCAAACACCCACAGAATGTGTTCAACAGCTCGATATCGCTGTCAATTTTCACCTTTTTCTTTTTATTATTATTATCATTATTTATTTATTTATTTTTCGGTTTGGTTTTAGCAGAAGCCTGGTAAATTGTTTCTTAGCAATATAGATAGATGTCTTTCCAGGTGGATATTTCGAGGATAAAACTGGATATAAAATTAATTTCATAATTTTTAATTTTATTTCGTATAGAGCTCTTCATAAATGAAGACGTTGTCAATTTTGTGGTTGTGGTTCTAATCATATTCGGGTGTCCATATCATGTTTAATTTTAACCACCCCAGGGGCTCGTTGTTTTCAGAGACCACCCAATAACAACAATGAGAACAGCCATGATGGAGAAAGGCTGAGCAACCGGAACAACATGGAAAGGGGCTAGAAGGAGTCACTTTTACGCAGTAGAAATGTTCCCTGCCCATCTCTATGGGCTGAGTTGACACCTGCATTCTTACCGGCGCTGTTGTGGCCATTCTGCACCTCAATCTCCCCAGCAATGATATCGCGTCTCGCCTATGCCGTCCATAAGCTGCCCATCCACGTTTTTCCACAGCACCACCACCAGTACAAACTATCAACACTATCACCAGCCTCACCCTTTAACGACCATCGTCTCCATGAGCGCAATATTTTCTCCTTCTGCTTCAGCCCCCGTGTCTGCTTCTGCGTCGACTTCATCAGCATTAACTGCTGCTACGACCCCTCCAGCAAATACGACCAATACATCCCCCATTCCAGTGTCTCTCACGCGTCGATCAGCCAGCCAAGTTGCACAACCGCTTTCGTCCTGGCCCTGCACAACATCAACATCAACATCCCGTACTCCTACAACAACAACAACCACTACCCAACCCACCAGGGGCAACGCCAGCAACAATAATATCACCACCTCTCCCAGAAAAGAACCTCTCTTCCTGTCTGCTGCCACGCAAAAGCAACGATCCTCCTTCCTACGCCGTCTCTCCCCTGGTCTGGCAGCCAGAGTCAAGCTGCTGGACGGCTCCTCCAAGCCTACACCGACACAGCCGCGTAGCCGCAGTGACATAGGCAAAATTTCAGAAGACCATCTCAAGGAGCTAGACAGTGCACATCGGGACCTTTCGATAAAAGTATTTCGCCGTGGCCGGGCCTGGAGTGGTGGACGTCGCACCTTGCTGACGCCGGAGCCGGCCTCCTCCCCCAGCGAGCTGGAGTCAGGGAGACTGGAGGACGATCGTACTATTTCTGCCAGTACTGCTCCTACCTGGGAAGCAGGTGTCAGTGTCTCAGATCCATCTGAGTCGTTGTCGACTACTCAAGAGGGAAATTCACAAATTTCAGTACATGCAATAGCGGAAATGTCGACTACTCAGGGAGTTCAAACCGCGGTGCTGGGCACGGAAACTTCCCAGGGATCAAGCACCAATTCCCCTACTGGTCCAACAGATTTGGAAAAGTATCTTCGCTCAAGCACACAGTCCGAAGAAGGCGCACCTCCTCCACTGCCAAAGGACTCTCCGCCCGCGACAACTGTGGCTAGTGGGTCTAGCACAAATGTGGAGTCATATTTTAACCCCCTGGGCCTCTCCCGCCCTGAATCTATTTACTCATTTTCCAGGGCGTCGTTTAGCAACCAACTATCCCAACTAACTTCGATCAGTTTACCCCAGCCCTCGTCCCTTGAAGCTAGCATTGCTTCCATCTCTACCGCCCCGGCTGCTGTGCGAGCGTTATCCGGAGCGGCAAGTCAGATACAGCAATGGATAAATAAGGCTTCGGATGTTCTGAGCGGGTTGGATGCTGAGGACGATGTTGAGTGGGCGGCTGCCGGTGGCAGGGAAGGATTGGAAGATGTCGACAAGGCCGTTACAAAGTTCGAGAGTTTGGTAAATGTCTACGTTAAGGCTATCGAAGAGGTACAGCTGCGGGATGATATTTCAGATGTAGGGTCTGAGCAGCTCCAGGCCGTCGTTGTTCAGATGGAATCAACATTGAAGAACTGGAAGGATGTCAGAGCCCAGCTAAAGGGCGTCAAAGAACAGGTTGAACTTGCCATGGAATGGGAAGAGCTGTGGACCAATGTTCTTGGTGATGTGGGTGTTGAGGTGGATAATCTGAGTCGATTGATATTCGAGATGGAAGAGAAACGGCATAAAACTATGGTCATAGAATCAGAGGCAGAGCCTGGCAGCAATCTCGACATCAACGAACTTGAAACCATCATCGAAGAATCTCCAGTTAATGGCAACACACCTTCCTCCTCCAGATTTAGTCTTGCCTCCGCTTTTGGTGGACCTAGCTCCAATATCGAATCCCCTGACATCCACAATCCCCAGGATGACTCCAATTTGTTAGCTTTGTTTGCAAGGATGCAACCCCTTCGAGCATCATTGGATTTCCTCCCAATGCGGCTTTCAATGTTTCAATCCAGAGCAGAAAAGATATTCCCAAGCGCATGTGACGAATTAGAGGATCGAAGGAAACGTTTGGAGAAGGGATACAAGAAATTGGGAGCCGACGCGGAAGCGTTGCGGCGGGAGCTGGGAGAGGATAGATGGGTTCTGGTGTTCAGGAATGCCGGCAAGCAGGCACATAAAATGTTCGAGTCCGTTGAACGGAGCATCAATAAACTCCAGGAAGCAATTGATTCGGGAATTCACAATCTTAATTCCACAGCGTTTTCGAAGAGGATTGAGAACTTTGAGGCTAAAAAGGTTCACTATAGCCCTGCCATCGACCGTGTGTTAGCTATTATCCAGAAGGGTATCAACGACAGACTTACGGTTAATGGTGAGATTATACAACTATTCACGGATTTGAAGACAAGATCGGATTCGATGCACGAAAAGATAAATGCTATGGACTCGCTGCTAGAGGAACTCAATGCTGCTAGAAGCCAGCAGCTACGAGATTCAATATCTAGTATTGTCACGCTAGATAGCCCAATCACCCGAAGTGCCATTGATACGCCCGATAGTTCGCCAGCTTCGTCTGTCGTCATGTCAAGTGCTAATGGAGCCAAAGGCAGTGCTGCAGCAAGCGCCAACGGATCAAATAGAAGGGCTAGCTCAACGGTGAATGCTGCGACGAAAAGCACAGCTCCAAAACTCAAGCGTTATTCTAGTCTACCGCAGGCCACATCTGCCACTCGAAGGTCCTCATTACCACGTACCGGCTCAAGCTCGAGCCACTTAGCTTCCCAGTCCCCACAACTCTCCGCAGCATCCCCTACTCCCTCCAGCACGCGTCCGGCATCCCGAAGCTCTATAGCAAAGCCAAGCTCTCTCGCCAACAGGCCCCGCTGGAACTCCAGCGCCAACACAAACGACCTCGTGGTCGGCCACAACTTCAAACCCATTTCTCTCACCACTCCCTCACCATACCGCAAACTTCCACCCCCCGCCAGCTCCCGCTCCTGCCTTCCCCTCCCCAGTCCCCTTGGTCGCGAGTCATCTGTCTCTCCGGCTCCTAATTCCCTCCGTCCCTCCAGCCGACTCACCAGTAGCCGTGTTTCCTCTCCCGCCACAGACCGCAGCTGTGCCTCACCAACTCCTTCACACTCCCGTCTCATTGATCCCCCTCCTTACAGCAAATTCCGCAAGGAATCGCTATCTGCCTTGCCCAGCCCCTCCTCACTAATACGCAATATTCCTCGCAGTCGGCAAAGCTACTCTGGCATTCCGAGCGCGCGAGCTGTGTCCACGAATACACGAGATGCTGGAGAGGGCGAAAATGGCACGAACAAGGGGACCACCCGTCCTGGAACGGCGTTGGGCCAAATGGGACGCCGTGTTAGTATGCTTCCTCGGTCGCGCACGCCGAAATCTGGGGATAGCGTTGCGTTTTCCTCAAGGGCTATAAATGAAAGGCCACCATGGAAGTAAGATGAGGAATAGGTTCTTTGTCCCGTCCTTGCGTACGCAGGTGTATGTTATGGTAGTGGACGGTGTCTGGTTCTAATAAACTTGCTCTATGTATCCGTGTGCTCTTGGTGATAGGTTGACTGGTTTAGATATATCCTCCTTTTCTGATCCCCGTTTCTTTTGCTGCTTTTGCCCCTCTCTTACCTTCTCTTCTATCAGATCTTTTTGACTTTTCATAATCTCTTCTTTAATTTTCCATTTGTCTGTCTGTCAATCTGTATTCTCCCTTTGCTGTTAGAACCATGTGTGTCTGCAGATCTCTCTCACCCCACCATTTCACCTCAGACGCTTCCTCATTCGTCTTTCCTCATGAGCATTTTTAATATATGGACAGTGATATCAGCCTCTGTTTGGTTTTTCTCTACGCACGGCCGGCGCAATGTGCAATTCAATACAATACACTTAACTAGTGTTTTGCTTATTTTTTAACTTTTTCTGCCAATTTTAGTTTCTCTTAATTCTAGATCGCTATATTTTGCCTCCCCCTTTTTTTATTTCATTCTTTATTCTTTATTCTTTATATTATTTTTATTTTTATTTGGCCCTTTATCTTAATATGCTAAAACTTTTAGATCTTCCCTCGCCTCCACCCCAAAGCCTCTTCTCAAGAGAGGTCTCATATCTTTACCTTCCCGGAAATTCCATCAACTAAGTCTAGTGTTGTTTGAAGTCTCGGAAGCCAACTGGCAGTTAAATGGGAAATGTAGCGAGAGCACGAATAAATTCAAGCAACACCAAGTCCTCGTCTTCCTTGTCTATCTTTTCATTCTCCTCCCCTTTTCTCAAGGTCAAATTTGTTACATTAGGACTAGCTATCTTTTCCTTTTTTCTCAAGATTTTGCCTTACACGCCCTTTTCCTCTATTTAGCTAAATAAGCCCCTTTATTTGTCTATCTGTCTGTCTACTGCCATATACCAATACGTCTTTCTTCTTTTGAGCTTTCGCGTCATCCTATTTGCTACTCAAGTGCCCGTCACATCTTCTGCAACCACAATCTACTTGATTACAGCGACACCAGATGTTGTTTATCCTTCATGTCAGCCTTCTCTCCATCTTTCACTCTTCCATCTCATGCCTGCCATCTTTCATATCTTTCTTTCGAAGCTTGAAACCTTACCAGACCAAAGCGTTTTTGTAGTTATCCAAAGTTTATAAGCGAGTTTTCTCTCGCTCCGTATTTGCAGCTTACTTCTTCCGCTACAGGTTTCTAGAATCATTCATATTTTGTATCTGTTTACCGTGTGTCCGCATGTATAGACGTGCTTCTCTTTCATAGTTTCCAAAAGATTTCATGCACCGCGCTCAATGCCAATATGTATATGTGAGACAGTCATAGTTAATAGGATATCTTGCCTGGGCTCGTACGATTGTCATCACCGCCCGTGTTTGCAAGTGGTTCAGAGGCCGAAGACGAGGTTGAAGTATTGCTGGAAAGCGTGCTCTGTTTATTGGCCATTCAAGATTTTGAGAGATTATATATATTTAAACCAACCCATCCAATGCGCGGTTCAATTTAGGAGAAAACTTCCAATACGCGGAGCGATTGCTAGATTTACGTTGTGGGTCCCATACAGCTCGTTGGGAAGACGAGAATCCAGTCAGCCCCTGAGCTTCATCAGCAGGGATTGAAAATTAATGCGACCGAGGAATTTGTCCCCGGGTGTGCTTGTGTAGCAAGAGCTGCAAATAAGTGGCTGGTCTGACCTAAGGTAGTGGGGGGGAGGGGGAAACCAGGGCTGTAATATAGGTAGTCAGTTGACAATGCACGCAAACTCAATGTTAATAGGATGTGACAAGGGCTTCTCGATTCTCAAATTGATGTAGCAGATGAACCCAACCCAATCCCAGGTTTAGCACAAGCTGACCAACTAGCAATTAAAAATCCTTCAAGGAAAAAAAAAAAAAAAAAAAAAAAAAAAGGAATACCAAAACTGCCTTTTTCCACTCCGCTTTTCTCTACAACCCTATCCCTTTAAAATAATCTCCTCTCCAACCCCCAATTCCCGAACATCGCACTCTACCCCTCCCTCCCTCACAATCCTCCTGATATCCCCCACCATCCCCTTCTCTATCTTTACAAACTTCGAAACCACCCCACCAGTGATCTTTTCTTCATCGTGCGCACCAATCCAGCATTTCGCCCGTAGTTTCTTCGCCAAGGTCACACCGCCGCGATTTGCGCCCGCAATAATATTTCCGCCTAGATACCACGGGTTTTGCACGCAGTGAAACGCGTGGATTAGCAGTGTTAGAGGTTGCGAGGCAGAGGTGTTGGTATCTATGTGTAGATAATTTGAGATAAATTTATCTAGTGCGGGACTTGCGGGGAGGCCGTGAGGAGTGTAGAGGATGGAGATGGGGGCTGGACGTCGGCTGGAGGCTGATTGGTATACCTCAGCGGCGGCTGTGGACGGAGCGGAGGAGAAAGTTGTGAATTCAGTGCTGGTCTCGGCTTGAGATACCCGATTTGTTGAGGATGGAGATTCCACCATGGGTGTAGATGGGGATCCAGATGGCAAATCCAAAGAGGGAGGATGTGCTTCCGGTGAGCAGATAGGGGATGCATGGCTTGTAGAATCGCCATTTTTACATTTTAGTGAGGGCAGATGGGATGAGGATGCTGTTGGAGCAGTGGCGGTTAGAGATTCGCGAGCGAGAGGGGGGATTTCAACACTAAAGTCATTTTGCCGTTGACTTTGTTTATGCGAACGCGGGCGTAGGGACAGGGTAGGTTTTGACATTATACTTGATCGAAGATTCGGAGATGTTTTTGGATTGGGAACAATGTTTGTTGGTGATGATATCGGCTCCGATGGAACGCGCTTATCGGCCCCTTCCCGCTTCCCGGATAAGTCCTGAGCTGGCTGAAGCACTCCATGAATAGGGGGATCTCGTGGTGGGAGATTGATAGTTGAAAAGGGCTCAGAACACGGCCCCGCTGTGGGAGCTAGATATTTGATCCCAATTGCATTATGAACCCCTGCCAGATCTCGTGCGGGTACCAAAGCAATTGTCACTTCGCCTGCCTCTCCCGTCTGCGTTAATGGGTTAATCGAAAAATGCAAAATTGACTCCGGTCTCTTGGGGCTGTATTCGGGAATAGCAACGATTTTGGTACGATGAAAATGATCAAAATTTTGGATGGTCTCTGCCGCCTTAGGAACCGCCACAATACTCGTCTTGGATGATTTTCTGGGTAATTGACATAGTGTAGATTCATGACAATGATCTGGATTGTCTTGCGATACAATGACCAGATCGGGCTCTTGATCGAGCTGAGAGAGATGGTTTATGCATGGCTGCACACTGTGTTCGGAAGACACAAACCAGCGATGGCCGATGACGGAGGGCCCCACTAGCCATGGGTCGACAAGTATTGTAAATGAAGGGGATGATTTGTGGTCTCGATAAGCTGAGTCGCCCTCGTCGGGGTCAAAGGTAAGGAGAAATGTGGTATCAGCATTGAGATGCTTTACAGTTAATGACATTTTGTCGCCGTGTTAACCCAGATATGGGGAGATACGGTCCCATATCCAACCAACCGCTGACAATGATGCAAGAGGAAATGCGGAGGTGGTTGCAACCTCCATGGGGATTGGTTTCACTATCAAAGGAAAATATGCCAGCTGATAATGTTTCAACTGATCCACCAGTGCGCTTTCGCATGTTCTGCTCGTAACACTCCTGCCAGCGTGAACGTTAGCTAGAGCTCATACAGGCCAAAAATAAAACATCAGGAGACGAAAAACGACTTCACAAAGAATTGGGATATGGTATCAAGTGACAAATCTTGCACAGTACGCACGTTATTAGTTGCCTTTAATCTTATGTAGAATGCTACTTGAAACAGACTTCAAACACCGTTGACGACGGACATTCGGAGTTAACTAAATAGTTCAGTTGGCCCTTGGGGTTTCGGTGCACTTTTCAAGTGGATCTCAGCCACGGCCGCCCTGCCAATTTGACAGGGTTGAAGCTGTAGGATGGGTTAATTGAAGGGAGTATATAGTTAATATACGCTTATGTGCGATTGCGTGCGGCGGGGCGGTCGCCGGATCGACGGCCGGGTGGAAGCGAGCCATCCCATCGTAAATATCAATGATTTCACCCAAAACGAGCTCGAGGCGAAGTCACCTCTTCCTGGGCAAAGAAAGAAAAGAAGAGGCAAATATCCTCCTCATCGCCCTTCAAGATCAGATCATAAACAAAACCGTCAAAGGTCTCCTCAAACAATCAGCCGTAAATTCAGTTACTGTGTGAAACAGGAACATAATCACGGCTTCAGACGAGCCCTTCAATATCTGTTCTCAAGCTGTACAGATTTGCTCCGGCTTCTGAACAAACTGTATGGGATAACAGACCTTCACCGGCTGAGTCAAGTGTATTACAGAATCTTAGTTTATGATCATGAATAATCTGCCTCTACTGACGGGTTATTATCACTGACTTCATTGTTTAGTGATGACACTGTTGAGGCATGCATCTGTTCAGTGACCAAGGACTGTCATTGAATCATCTTAAAGTCAGGTATATCTTCTCCTTGGGAATATTGACCAGTTTCAGGGTTCAGGGAGCAAGGCTCTCCCACACTTGGAATGAAAAAGCGTCGTGATGATAAAACTCTGTGACTGATACGCTTGCCTTCCACGACAACCGATTACAACAACCGAACGCAATCAATGACAGGTCTTGACGGTATTTGCCAGCGATTTCAGATGCTCTAGCTACTCCCAGGACCATGGCATCTCACTTCATTGAGCCGGGCTTTCGACATGGCCCTTTCATCTCGTTACTTGTTGAACGATCTTCACGTGAACAATATTTTAATTGATGACGACTGGAATGTCAAATGCCTTATTGACCTGGAGCGGGCATGCTCATGGCCTATTGAGATGCTACACTCTCCTCACTGGTTCGAGAGTGTGGATACCATTGAACCAGTAATCAAGAGTTCGTCAACATTCTCGAACGGGAGGAATGTTTGCTGCGGAACGCGAACACAGTTACGAGGACTTTCACAGAGAAATATATTTCCCTATTGGATACCGGACGTCGAGAATCCCTTTCTAACAAAAATGCTGGAAGACAAGGCAGCTTATGGCAGAGAGCTTCAAAAGAATTTCGATGTTGAACCTGCTATATAACAAACCTTGAACTTATCCCTGGCTGGAGCTGAGAGTCTTTTCCGTCGCTCTTGGTTTGCTGAATTTCCCGAAGTCACCTGCGCTCTATGGATTTTTCACGGCATCATCCCAACGTCAAGGGAGATATGTAATACCTTCTGATAAATCAGTCACAAACGACATAGCTTCGTAATGCCTTGCGATCGATAGTCCAGTGAATCGATTCTATTTATTCTGTTGTTTCTTGAAGATACCATTTCGTCCGGCGGCATATCGTTCGATGCCACCTACTTCCAGAAGTACGTCGCTTGGGAGTATTCCTGCAGCCACTGCTCCCTCGCGAAACAATGACCTTTTGTAGTCAGGAAGTTTGTGATTTGGGCATTCAATTCTATGATATATATGCACACCTGGTTAGAACGTCTGTGGAAGACGAAGACAGCTTCTATCCTGCAAGAAAACGATTTTCTCACCTGCTACGGTCATCTCCCTTCTAGCCTGCAACGAGAAATGATCCCGGAATTCATGCACAAGAATAAGATGCTCCGGAAGCTCCGTTCCTTTCCCCCCACAAGCACAAGTTATGATGTCAATTGTCACTTATCGCAACAGCCCAAATAAATAAAAAGAGATGCACACCTGCAGGAACTGAATATATGCAAACATCCCCTTTCACCTTACGCACAAGATCCTGCAGCGTTCGAGAATTTGGACGCATAGAAGCGCCGTTAGGAACTGGACATCAATATCCATCAGTTATTCTTCTCTTTTCTTTTCCTTTTTTTTTTTTTTTTTTTTTTTTCATTTTGTGTTAGTTAACTACGTAGCCGCTGTACCATACAGAGATATGTGGCGGGGTCCAACGCCCTGGGCTTGGCCTTTCCGGCTTCCGTCAGAAGGTCAAATGGCCCAGGCGGAGGCCTTGAAGGGTCGAGGTGTTCACGGAGACGAACCACCAGCCCGAAGTTGACCCGGAATATCTCATCAGGAAACCTAATAAAGGATTTGAGGAATCTATTGGTGAGGGCCATCTAATCCCAGTAAACTCGTGAGGTCGTTTGGAATTATGCTGGAAGACACTTTGAAAGCACAATTGATTCCATCCACTTGTTGACGATGGGGTGTTTTTTTTCATATAGTTAAGGTTTAACCGGCGCCAAGCTCCCATTTACAGGCTCGCCCACAGGTGCTTTTTTGTATAATTAGTTACAACCTCACCAAAATATCAAAAAGGACCCCTTGATCCGTCAGCCTTAGCTTTTGTAATAAAAATTGATGTTCGGGGAATCCAAAAATAAAAATAAAAAATAAAAATAAAAAATAAAAAATCTCCCACTGCATTCCCATTGCTACCAATTAATTGTTACATCAACGAGCAATTGTCCAATAATAAATTAAAAATTAAAAATTAAAAAAAAAAAAATCCAATGCATCAAATCTAAATTTGCCTGAATGAGATTACCATAGGTCTCTGCTTGCTGCTACATGTATCATTCAATGACCTGAATTCTGAAATAACAGCAAAAGCTATTGCTCACATCACATGTGAAATTCATCAGCAACAATGCACCTCCAGTATTCCTAGAACACACCAAGAAGTTGTTCATGAAGCACTCTGAAAAAATTAAGCACCTCTGAATCATGAGATTAAGTTCAGACATTGTGTGGGATGTGGAGGATGCACTCCTCCAACATTCTCCTGCTGACATTGACACAAAGAATTGCATGAGAAGACTGCTCTATATGAAGTTGTGTCAAGTGTGTCAAGGAAATCTGATCTGTCTGGAGTGCAAAGTGGTGCTGACACTGGAGTTTAATTCTTGAACTGGATGGTGCCTGTGAGGGAGGAGAGGAATGAGGGCTGGCTGTTGAGTTGAAGTGTTGGATTGGACAGCTCATCCCAGTAACTATTAATGAAGAGAGGATGGATGGAACCAAGGCATTGATGATGTGAATTATTACATTTGAAGGGAGTGCGTATTCTCCTCAATGAGGACAAAATAAACCCCCTTGAGAGCAGCAACTTTAACCCTTCTATGGTTTTTTCAACGGCTTGGCAAACTGTAACTATATTTTTAAGGTTCATGCCGTGAGTTACCCCCCTTTAGCATCCAGCGCCGATTCTGGTTCAAACCTTAGAGTCATCTCCGTTGGACCCTGAGCTGTTTTAACTCTGCACGCATCAAAAGAGCGATGGCGCATTCACAAACCACTGCTCAAGCAGGATGGACAGAAGACGCAAACTCGAATGATAAAAATGGAGTAGAAGGAAACAAATACTATAAATATAATTATTAAATAAAGTTCAAAGTATAGTTATCTTCAATCATTGGTCTCATATTCACTTCTCAAACTCATTTTAATCAGTTTCACTTTCTCTCTCATTCGCTTCTGCTTCCTGTCCTCAGCCAGTGAGCAAGCCTGTCAGATATCGTGTAAATGAAAATAAATGACTTCCATAACAACATCACATGAATGGACAAAAGGGGGGTCAAAGTAGAATCAAACAGAAAAAATTAAAATTAAAATTAAAATAAAAATAAAAATAAAAATAAAAAACCCAGCGGCAATGCAAAGATCACGACCACAAGTGTGTCATATAACTAGAGAAGTAATAACCTTGTATAAACACAAAAACTAGAAGAAGACAACAGACTTTTCAAATGAAGCACATTCATCATCATAATCATCATCATCATCAGGGCGATAACAAGGGGTTCTTGAAAAGTCTGGATATTTGACAAATTCCAATTCAAGGAAAAAGAAAAGGATATGCAAACATACCTAAGGAATATGAAAAGCCCCCCAAACCAGCAAGAGCCGTTAGTTTGCCTGCTCCGAAAAAAGAAAAAAACAGGAATATCCAAGCGCGAAATATCCAATAGTCAAAATTCAAACCCATAAAATGAATAGATTGAGGATGACATGAACCAGCCGTAAAACATGGACATATACCATAAACCATAAAACTTATCATCCCACCATATCCCTTCCATCACATCTTCATTGTTAAGTGACCAGGCATACCATACCCAAAGAAAACAGGAAAAAGAGAGGACAAGACAAGACAAGCAAAATCAATAGGGGGTGGTGTTCACAATATCAATGAATATATAAAACAAAAAAAAAAAAAAAGGAGAGGGGAGGGAGATATTTATAGACCGGAAAGATACTGAATTCGGCCCAACCATTTCAAATCTTCAAATCATTCATCATGATCATCAAAAACCGTCAAAAAGAGTCAGGAGCGTCACAAGCGGGATGTTTAAAACAAAATATGTACCAAAAAAGGGAGGTGGAGGAGATTCATACGTGATCTACATCCTCCAACCCCCAACCCCCAACAATATATATAAAATTTGAGATCACCGAAAATCCAACTGAATCCCCTTCCACAATCCCCCCACAATCCCACAGTGCGGACATCCCTTCTGTCCCTGCCCCTGAACCTGCATACCTTCCTGCCTCACCCCATTCCCATTCCCATTCCCAGCACCACCATCCCCATCGGCGCCGCCGCTCAGATTCAAAATCGACGCCGGCTGCCCAGCGCTCGTCGTCTGCAAGCCACCCCCTCCTCCGCCGCCCATAACAACGCTAACACACTCACGACACACGCCGCATATACAGTTCGTGCAAGCGAAACAGTCGCGGACGGGCCAGGGGCGCGAGCAGCAGGCGCAGTAGATTTGTATGTCTTTGTTTCCGGCCAATGTGATGCTGGAGGAGGAAAGGGGGGTGGGGTTTGAGAGGCGGTGGTGGGGATGGTGGTTGGGGTTGTGGAGGTGATGGTAATGCTGTTGCTGCTGCTGGTGGTGGTGGTGATGGTGGTGGTGGTGATTCTGCAACTGCTGCGGATGCGACGAAGGGTTGTGCGTGTTGTATGATGAGCTTGGGAGTGATGGCCGTGGCGCGGGGGGCTGGATGGGGCTGGAGTCTGAGTTATTTGACGTTCCCGATGCGAGGCCTGTGGAGGACATGTGGAAGTTTTTGCCGGATATGGAGGTTGAGATGGAGATTGAGGAGGTGGAGGTGGAGTCCAGGGACGATTCAATCGAGGGGAAGGGTTCCAGATCGTTGTCTGCGACATTAGGGTTGGGGTTGCTGTTGTGGGGTTCGTATGGGGGTGGAGTTAGGGCTTTTTGCAGGGGGGAGGCTGTGTAGGAGAGCGAGGGCGGTGGGAGTTGTCGGTAGTGCGGTTGCGGGGTTGGGAGGCCTGGTATTGATGAGGATTGGAAGGCGGGTGGGAGGGAGGAGCGGTGTTTTGTCGTTGAAGGGGCGGATGTGACGTTATGGTTGAAAACGTTGAATTGGGGAGATTTGGAAACCTAGTTTAATGGTTAGTGTTATGGTTTTCTATATTAAAGCTGCAGAAAAGTTTTGAACGTAAGGGCAACCGCATATCTCCTTGATACATACCGGCGTCAAATCCCGATCATCAACCTCAGTTGCGGACGTCGCCGCCTCGATCAAATCCTCCCACCTCTTCCCCTGTACCCAGGCCGCCGTCTGCGGTTCAGCGGACAATGCCTTCCGCTCATTCAAGCTAGGTCTGCGTCCAAACTCCTTTGATCGATTTCGTTCATGCCGAGCCCTCCGCGCAGACTGTGTCAAAGAACCCTTACGTGAACGCTGGAGCTTCTCCCGCCGTTGGATGGGAGGCAGTGTCGAGGAGCGGCCTGGCGGAGAGTGGGAGAGGATAGAAGGGAGGAGTTCGCGTGGTCGTGAGACAGAGGAAGTGGATTGGAAGGGGGGGATTGTGGCGTCTTGTTGGTGACGTTGTTGTTTGAAATGGTCGCGGAGGGGGGGGAGTTCAATCGAGGAGCGCATGCGGTCGCGACGGATATCAATGTCAGAGTGGATGTCCTGGTTTTAGTTTTAGTTGGTTTGGTGGTTACACATTGGCTTTTCAGGGTATGTGTGCGGCAAAAGCAATGAGAACATGGTGAATAAAAGAGCGTAGGTATAGGTAGGTGAAAACACACTGGTTCAGAATCCCAATCTCCCGTCAACCGATGATGATGAAGCTGCGCCAACGCAACAGCCGCAGTAGCTGCAGCTGGATGCGCTTCATCAAGCGTTCGAGGAGTCCTGGGAGAGCTTCGATCGTGTGCAGTACCAAAGATATCCCTATCGCCAGGGTCACCTAAAATAATACGAACCAACGCAAAAAAAGCGGAAATTCGTCAGCAACCCCACATCTTTTTAAATCAAACAAAAACGACAGCAATCTTCAAATGATCTGATAATAGATTATAGGGAATACGCACCAGGACCCCGTCGCGGATGGGAAGTGTTGGGCTGCGGAAGGCCATGTGACCTCTGCTCTGGGCGGGTGTTCACCATAAGCTGGAAGCTTTCTTCAGTTGCGGGCAGCTTGGGGATGTAGTGGTTTGGATGGGCACGGCGGATGTGCTCTTGCATAGAGCGGTAGCGTTTTTCCTATATTATACATAATTAGGGAAGAGCTCGAGATGGAAATGGCTGGGTGAGACACGTTATAGAGCTGTAATCGCAATATTTTTATTTTATCTTTTTGATTTTACTTTGTATTTTTTTTTCTTTGCTTTTTGTCATGAGGTTTGGGGGGGGGGGGATGGCAATTGTGCGCAAGGGAGGAGGAACAGATCGGGCAAACTCACGCCCAAGCATCGTTTGCGACAATTGGAGCCGTCATTGTTGGTCAAGGGACAGACGACTTCATTGTTGACGTCGGAGACGGAAAAGGAACTGGTCAGGGAAGCTCGCGGTGGCATTGTCTGCATGTAACCCTTCTGCCTATTTCCTGACCCTTTTTTAACTCTTCCTTCTTCCTTCTTCTCTGTGATTTTCAAACAATATATATGTATCTATTTATCTTGCGATCTGTGAGGATAGCGTTGGTGGCGGGGAAGATGGAGGGGCTTTCGAAAGAACGAATTTTGGTCGATTCCAATGTCCAGCAGTTAACTAGATAAAGGGCAATCAAAACGGCCAACTCGAAGAAACGATTAGAGAACTATCGATAACGGGGTTGGTGATTTGGTCCTGTGCGCTGGGCGGAATCGAATCGGAATTGAAAACGGAAACGGATAATGATAGTCTTGTTTAAATAATTCTAACAATGGACTACGTTATATCGACTCCGAAAGATATTTTTTAATGTTGGTTCCAGTTGTAGGAGCGGTGGAGCTGTGATCCGGGTTGATCGGGAAGAGCGGGAGTCGGGTTAGATGATCGCGATGATGCGCTGGCGGTAGCGATGACGATGAAGATTTCGAGAGATTGACAACAGCTGACGAGAAGAGAAGCTGCTGCGCATGCTCTCCCAAAATTTAAATATGATAAAGACGGGATGGCTGGGGATGGTCGAGGGTGAGAGAGCGAGAGAGAGGAGAGGAGTTGCCGGTTGGATGGGTGGAATGGGTGGAATGGGTGAATGGGTGAAAGGATGGTTGGCAATAAGCAGGCTGGTGAAAATGATGGGAGATGCCACCTAGGTACCCGGGTAGGTAACAATAATACTAATCCTAAGGATCACGATAGAATAGTTGCGTGCAAGGTTGAAGTGGGTAACTGCAGGGAAGATGCAAGGTGATGGATTAAAAGGTGGAAGAGGAACTAAAGAGAGAGGAGGGGGGAGAGAGGAGGGAACGAAAGGAGTTAAAAAAAGGAATGAGAAAGAGGAAGAAATCGGTCGGCTAGGACAGATTGGAATATGTGGAGAAGCGGTGGATAGTTGACATGTGTGAGTAATAGAAGAGTCCAACAGGTAGCGAAATAAAAATAAAAATAAAAATAAAAATAAAAATAAAAATAAATAAATAAATAAATAAAAAAATACCGAAAAAGGAGCTGTGTGGACAGCGGGCGAGTTATCGTGGGGGCGTGAAAGTGGGAGAGAGTGGTAGGAGTTGGTTGGGCGATGGTCGGAGAGAGTGAGAGAGTGAGAGAGTAAGAGAGTAAGAGAGATAGAGAGAGAGAGAGAGAGAGAGAGAGAGAGAGAGAGAGACAGAGAGAGTGGAAGATGGCGCCCGGTTCGATGATGAAACCGTGGAACTTTGGAATAAAATAACCTTACTAAAAGAGCCTATTGGTAACCGATGAGTGGATGAGAGTGGATGAGAGTGGGTAGGTAGCTTAAAAATGTAGGGGAGGAGAGCAGAGCTGGAATTGGTGGGATGCGATGGTTGGATGAGACGGGATTGAGACGAAGATGAGAAGAGGCAAAAGCAGAAGCAGAAATCACAAGTATTAGCCGGAGCTGCCGGGATGATAGGAGGAGGAGGAGGAGGAGGAACAGAATCGTCAGAATAATTTAAGAGCAGAAGTAAGGAAGAAAGGATTGCCAAAGAGTTAAAACTATTGAATCAAGGGAAAACTAAGCCGTTGGATGATTAAAGTTACTTCATTGAAAAAGATCCGTTGTGGTCATCAAGCTCCGAAGTTATTTACTTATTATGCTGGTGGTTATGCTTCCTCCGCAGCGGCAAGGATACGTCGACATAGTTACATCCGCTGTGTTTCCTCGGCCCTGGCTGTAACGGTGTGGGAGCGTCATCTTATATTACTGTTAATCCACTAGTTCTTAACCTGCGACTCTGATAGTTTATTAGCTTGATTTCAGCTGAGGAGGGGAGAGAGACAAGCTGGAGCTACGCTTGAATGACACTTTTTCAAAGCTGGGCCAGCTGCTGCCAGCTGGTTTTCATTGCTCTTCGTCCGCGCTCATTGGTTTCACCGGGTCTGAATGGCCTCATTGGCTGCCTTCGACGGCAATCTGTCGCTTTTTTTCAAGGTTTTTCTGTTTTATTTTTAAACTTCTTTTATTATTATTATTATTATTTATTTATTTATTCTTAAACAAGGCTCAAGGCTTGGGACTTGTGGAGGGGTCAGACCAGGTCGAAGGAGGGGTTTGGTGGCTTCAGGTTAGGGTTTTCAATTCATTGGCAACCGTTATCTTCATCGCGGGTTGAACTATTGGTGAGCATTCATTCTCTCTGCCTGCAGATTCTCTGCACGAATGAGTCTTTGAATATATGACTGAGTACCAATTGAGACGCAATATGATCTGAAATTCAGCAATTGTTGAATTCATCCGGGCAATAATCGACATCAAGGCTCCTCCAGGGACAAATAACCAACTGCTGAATAACTGCATGCAACAGGTGTTGTTGAGTCGGTGATCCGACAAGAGCAAGCTATATTACTCATTAACTCTTCATGGATAATGAGCACATTTCATATTTACGTTTCATATCTATTTTACATATACATACATAACTGCTTCATAAATATCCCCAGAGGCTCTCGACCAAGCTGAACAAAGCTACCCTGTACGCACGCAGTATCTGTGCCTCCTCCATCCGGGTACCCTGGGGCAGCTAGCTATATAGCTATCCGCATCCTCCAGTTTTCTAACCACCACATGTAATGTACTTGTTCCGGAGCAGGCCACAATGATCTAATTTCCTTGAATCCCCGTTCCCGTTCCCGTTCCCTTTCCCATATCCCATGCCTACGCCTAGGTTAATCTCTCTTAGCCAGCCAACAACCGTCAACCATCTCTAGTGTTTTTTCTTTTACCCCTCACCTCAACCTCCCTCCCTCCCTCTCCAATCCGACCTTTCACTCTCCACCCTTTTAACCCCGTGCTTCCCGCCTCTTTTCCCTTAAGGTTAAATTTCCATTCTTCTTTTCTTTTCATATGACAAACCGGTTTTTCTTTTTCTTTCTTTTTTTTTGGTAATTTTTTTTTTTTTTTTTTTTTTTTTTCACACCCGTTTTCGATTTCTGCGGTGGGCTAGTTGAGTTTAATCACCACCGCCTCAATCCGAGGGAGCCCCGGCCTCGAGTGCCCACTTTGCAGTTGCCCCTTTGCCTCCATTGCCCCCCCTTCTGCCCACTTCCATGGAGCTCTAGCAACAGAAACCAACACCGGGAACCTGCTCAGCTGAAGATCTACGGTTCAGGCAGAGCTGGATAGCTCAGGAGTCGGGGCCGGTGGTACCGCGGGAGAATATATATATATATATATTATTTTACCTTCTTTCAAATCGCTCGCTTAGCTTTTATGAAGACGCAGTGCGGATACAAGTTCATATAAGGAGTCAATAGTTGCCCTTGACTTTTCTGGGGCAATTAGCCCGGAGGATGTAACTTGTATGGATATATACCATGGGGTGTTTATTTATGGTTAGTGTGTGAGATAGAAAAAAAAATATTTATATATTATATTGTTGAACGTGTCGGACATTGACACTCTGTTGTATCAATCTATGACAGATATCACTTGTATGCAATGGATTGGAAAGTTTCTATTGCCATCAGATATTTACCTATGAGCCTTAAACAATGTGTGTTCATACAGAGAAAAAAGAAAGTATGCACACCAAACCCCGCTAAACTCCACTTCGTCTATCGCTTGCAACAATGTCGAAAAGGAGAAAAACGGCGCGAAAAAAAAAAAAAAAAAAAAAAAAAAGATGACAGAACAAGGGGAGATCCAATCCAAGAATAAGAACCATAATGTGTATAGAGTACAAAGTAATAAGATACAAAATCAAGAATGCTAAATCGTAGCCACATCGATTAAAAAACAATTACACCCGATCCCCATCACCATCACTGCCCCTGCCACCATGGCGTTGATGTTGATGCTGATGGTGATGCTCATTAACCCTCCCCGCCATCTTTTTCCCAACCTCATAGCTAGAAATCATAATTGCACAGGCAGGAGCAACCTTGAGACAGCGCGCGGACCACCCGCGGAAAAGGCCTGAGACACCTTCAGTCTTGAGGATGTGGAGGAGGAAGCGGGGGGTGGAGAATTGTTCTGGGTGGATTTGGGATGGGGTGGTGGGGGTGCAAGTGGAAGGTGAGGATGATGGGGAGGACGACGATATGAAGTTTGAGAAGGACGAGGAGGTAAAGGACTTGCTGGTGTTGCTGGCAGTGAGAGCACCGGAGGAGTTAGTGGAGGTGCTGAAGATGGATTGGGCGGGCTGAGCTCTCGACCCGAACTCATCGCCACAGTGCAGGAATACCTGCTGTCGCGTCTTGCCTACGTCGAAGGGGGTGGTGATGAGCGCTGCAAGGGCGCCGGATATGGCTCCTGCGGCAAAGCTGTCGAGGAATGTCATGGTATTTTCGTGGTGTGGGTGGACATTGCGATGACTGTGAAGTTGCTGCTGATGATGGCGATGGCCATCGGCGAGGCGCGCAGTCGGAAGAGCCATCGCCTTCAACCGCATATCCGTAAGGAAGGTCTTGACAGACTCATACCCCAACCAATACAAAGCGGAGAAAGGCACATCCCGCCACATCGTAAGAGTCAGTCCCCGCCATAGCGAGCTATACCCCAGCGTCTGAGTCATCTGATGCAGCCGTTGGAACGTGGCTTTGAAATGGTTTGTCCCCGTCCCCGACGTAGCTTGCAGCCGTGTCCTGAACATTTCAATGGGACTGATGACCGATGCAGCGGCAACACGGGCTATACCACCGGCCACTAGCGGGGCATATGTGTCATTAAAGACCTGGTTGATGGGGCTATGTTTGTCGTAGCGCAACCAGTCATAACCCGTGAAGTAGATGACGTTCGCTGGAATTGCCATTATTAGGGTGGGACTGAGGCCGCGCCAGAGCGATAAGACCCCTTCATTCCTGGCAATCTTGCGGAGCCCGTCGAGAGTGGATGTGAACCTTCTTCGTCGGGTTTCTTCTACCGCACAGCCTGCTGCGGCACTGGCAGAGGCTTGGCTACTGATTGCCGAACCATTTGCTCCCACCATGCAAAACTGTGCGTTGTTTCCGACCCAGAACACTTCTCGACAGCAGGATGTGACCCCAAGGTTTGGGGGGAGTTCCCTGAAAGCGGGAACGGAGAATACATCTCCAGAATTACGGACGACTGGAGTTTGCGATTGGAGACGAACACGGACAACGTCAAGAGGCGTCACTAGAGAAGATGTGAGTTGATAGATACTAACTTGCAGACAGTAGGTAGGGCAATATTTACCAAGTAAGGAGGTTAGGAGACTTCCCCATGTTGCCGAGATCATCTTCTGGGCCGCAGAAACATTGTTGTATTCCTGGTGAGCTCCAGAATGGCTTCCCGAGCTTCCACTGGCATCGCTGGGGCCCATCGATGCCGTCCTTTCATGGTGTAGGAACAGGTTCCTCTCTCCCAAATCACCGTGTTGCCCTTCTTTCGTATAAGTCTCTTGCAAATGTGGCCACGTTGGCGAACCCACATACGCAGACATTCAACTACGTTGCCGTGGGATATTGATATAGGTTACACCCTGATATTATCTTTCGATATCTGGGTTAGATTTGTTTTCAAATGTGCCCACCAACTACACGGCAAGAAGTTCGAGAGAAATACAGGACTGTGGAGAGCGGAGAAGCGGAGGAGGGAGGGCGGAGATGATAGAAAAGAGTGCGGACCCCAAGTTCCAAGTTCTTGATGTTCTTGGTGGACAAAGAGCTTCACGACGGGAAAAAAAAACGTTGACTGGGCAAGAAACGAGGATTCGTCGGAGAAACCTTCAACCGATAGCGCCGCGCTTTGCCGAAGCAGGCGGTGGGAGAGATGACGTAATAGATGGCGCTGGATCGATTTGGGATTAGCGCACGGGAGGAGCAACGCAACATTCGGCGATTAGTCATTCCCGAATGACTCTTCTTATTTAAACCTTCACACCAGCCGCGCAACTGAAGTGGAGCAACGAAGAAGATATATATGAACAGAGCAGGGTTTTCCACACTGAATTGCAAGATGGTTCCAATCGATATAGATGGTTGGGTTGTTTGACGTGTTTGTACGGAGATTGGGCTGAAAAATATATATTGTTTCCCATACATTGATGATCGTTGAAAAAGCCTCGGAAGGCTAATACAACACCCCGCTGCAATGGAGCCAAATGACGATGAACTGGAGTCTTTTCGCCGTCAATGGCGGGAAGAGGTCTCTGCACGGGCTAGAGCGGCTGCTTCTTTGCGGCCAAAATCTCAGCAACAGGACTCTCAGCAGCCTCCCGATGTAGATTTAAGTCATAGATTGCCCCCGCGCCATCTGGCTGCTGGCCAGGCAGAGTACGAAGAACTGGTGACAACAGGGGCACAATCTGCACCTCACGCACATGAACAGTTGGTAGACCCATTACGGACGTTACATGTCACGTCCGGCGATGACGACTCTTTCCATCGCCCGCCGGAGAGACAGCCAACCTCCGCGCTCGATCACTTTGAAGCTGCGGCGCTGAAGGAAGCCCAGGGGAGTCTTAGAACAAGTTTAGATTTGTACAGAAAAGCTTATAGGGTAAAAACTTGATTCAGCCCCTGAAATCTTATAGAAATTAGTCACTTTTCATTCATGAAGAGCTTGCTAATTTCTTTCACAGCTTGACTCCATGGTTGACCAGCTTTACCGAGCAAAGTACTGTACTCCCTCCCGGAAAATAGCTGGTATCACCCCTCCGGGCGAGCCAGCGGCAGTCCCAAACCCCCCCCGTAATTCACAGGAGGAACCCATTCTGTCTACGCCGGAGTTGATAGCTTCCTTTGCTTCCTGTCCTATCGTCGGTGCGGACCCGATGATCGAGAATACACCCCCACCACCCTGTCCCATCTCAAAAGTCCCGTCCGAAGTGCTTATAGAAATTCTCTGCCACGTGGCTCTTCTGGACCCAGCTGCCTTCAGAAGCTTGTCACTTGCTTGCAAGAGACTGGCATACCATTTTGTCTCAGAGCAGCATATATGGAAGAGACTCTGTCAGGGTTCCGAGTTTGGCTTCGGGGCGATGCACTATGACTTCTCATGTGATGTGCGATGGCGCCGGATACATTCATTTTCGCCGAAGTTTACGCTTTTCCCCTTTGATCAGGCCCTTTGCGTGATTCCAAAACCCTTTTTATCCTGGAGTCAGGTATTCCAGACCTTTCCACGGATCAGATTTACTGGGATATACATCAGCACAGTAAACTACACACGCCCAGGTGCCAATTCTACACTGCAAAATATCTCCTGGAATACTCCGATTCATATCGTGACTTACTATAGATATCTGCGCTTCTACCCCGACGGAAGCGTAGTTTCACTTCTGACAACTACCGAACCCATCGATGTCGTCCCACATATGAGCAAAGAGAACCTCGAAACCCTCTTTGTTGGAACGAACGCCCACCGTCGACACCAGCATAGCGCTTCAGACAAGGCTTCAGCGGGAGCTCCTCTTGCCAACCCAATCCCCCAAGTCGCCGCTGCCGCACTGAAAAGCTGTCTCCGTGGCCGATGGCACCTTAATAACCCTTACCCGCCGCCGCTTGTGCCTGAGCTTCCTGAAGTGTCGACTGGCCCTTCAGCTACAACAACGCAAGCAGCCCCTGCAAACCCCACTCCACCGCCCAGCAGGTTTATATCAGCATCCACCACAACCTCCGCAGCTGGCAGCAGTAATGTAATGCCGGACCCCCGCGACCTGTTCATCGAAACCGAAGGTGTAGACCCTAAATATACCTATACAATGCATCTGGCACTGCGATCGACTGCTGGTGGTCGCGCGGTGGGTGGGAATGCGCCATTACCGTCAAACCCATCGAAAAATACGAAGCTGGTGTGGAAGGGATTTTGGAGCTATAATCGACTCACGGACGATTGGGCTGAGTTTGGGTTACGGAATGATAAGGCTTTTGTGTTTAGAAGGGTTAAGGGGTGGGGAATGGAATAGATGTTGTTATCTTAGCGCTTGATTGTTTGCATGTCATGATTTATGGTTTTTATTTATTTTTTCACCCCTGTTTTATCTAATGATAATGAATTGGTTGAACGGTTTCTGTTTTCTTTTTCTTTTCCCTTCGGGAAGAATGGCTTCGACGTTTTACCTTTTGGAGCTGTGCGTTCCGTCCCGGGAAACTGATCGTGTCATGACGAACATATACATTTCTATATTTAGATATCTCTAGTGGAGATTACTGCAAAAGATAGACATGGAACACGACATATGCATATATATACAAGGGGTGTGGAAACGGCCAGGTCAAACAAGAAGCTGAAGGGGGTATCATGTTTCTATAGTAATCTGCGATACAATAGCTAGCTTAATTTTGCAGACACGATGAATAGGGGTTGAACAATATTAGGACATTTCAAAGTGCCGCATTTTTTTTAAAGAAAAGAGGGAGACAGAGATATACACCCACGCTATGCGATAGAATGATAGAAGAGGCGTTGACCATATGGCTCCACCAAAACTGCCCGTCTGGCGTCATAATAAATCAAATAACATACCAAAGATTTACGCAACGATCTTATAACTGCCCCCACTAACAACCTCCAACTTTCCCTTCGAAACCATCTGGCTCAAAAACGCTCTCAGCTCCTCACTACTGAAGGGGAACCCACCAGGCACTACTATCTTCAGCATCATGATGATACGCTGCAAAGGCATCGCCCCCTGGTTCGTCAACATCCCCACGATGAATTGCCAGTAGAGATCCATCTTAGCCATTGCTGCAGCGTCCGCTGATTCTTTTGTCGCTGCCGCAGCGACTGCAGCTGCGGAGGATATATTTGGAGGACCGGCAGCACTGAGTAGAAGTGTCCCTGAAGATGGGCCAGTGATGGTTGCATCGCCATCTGTCCGGGAAGGGCCATTTTCGTCCTCTTCGTCTGGTATTGTTTCGAGAACGCGGAAGGTGTCTGGATGCGGTTCGGTAAGAATACGTTTGCTGACCCAGAAGAGACAGGCGCTGTGGACGAGTGAAGGGGCCATTTCCAGTTGCTGAGAGAGCTCGGGGACGGTTTTGGTTACTGGGGTGATTGGGCCGGTTGGGGAAGGCGAAGAGTGGGGTGATTGAAAGGCATATATTACGGCAGCTTGCCAGGTAGTGACTTCGGCTGTGAATACGCGGTCTTCGAGGTCGAGCTCGACAGTAACATGTCCTAGGCCGTTGAGCCAGGTCAGCTTGCGAGATTGCTTTAGTGACTCGAATCCCGCGGAGTATTTTGCCTGCAACGAGGCGATCTCTGGAGGAACTTTGAATTGGGGATTTTGGAGGGTGGGCCAGAAAAGGCGGGAGAGAATCTTAGCGTGCAGTTCCGGCATGCTGTCAATTGATTGTGGGGGATTTCCTTTGTTTTCAAGCTTCTGCTCTGCACGGATGGCAGAATCGACTCGTTCTGAGCTTTGAACGTCATTGAGCATGACCTGACAGGCTTGAAGAGCTGAGTCACCAAATCGAAGCTTCAACAATTCCAGCAAGGATACTTCTAGATCATAATTTTCACTATTTTTAAGTAGGCGCTCTCCAAGCACTTTCTGGAGTTCTTTTACAAAGGCGTCTTTTGTTTCAAAAGAGGCTTATTAGACTGCCAATGACGTCGGAGTTCTTGGACTTCTTGTAGTCCACAGCAACGTCGACTGGATCGGGCATCCAGTTCATGTCATCCCAGCCCAGCTCGCCAGCATCATCCTGAAGCAAGAGCTCATGTGCCTTTGACAGCTCGATTGCCAATTCAACGAGTGTATCGGGATTTGACGTGATGGGTTGTCCATTCGCATCCACTGTGTCAGCTAATAGGCCGCCCACAATAACTTTAACTGTGTCTTCCCGATCTCTTAGATATCTTCGAATTGGGCGAGCAACGTGATTGAGAAGCACCCCTCGAGGATCTAACTGAGTAAAAGCGCGGATGATGGATATATATATTTGAAGTATCTCGACGGTTGACGCGCCTGGGTGAAGAAGCCGCTGCATCAACATTGTTACAAAGGAACTGACGAGATATAGACGGGTTGCAGGATTAGTAATGTAGTGTTTTAAGTCCTCGATTGCACCGCTGCTAGAATCCCACTCAATAATGACATCGAATAGCTCACTGATCCGAAGGGCGCCTAGTCGCGCAATTCCCATTTCTTGCCACCTTTCAACATCGTTTAGTGTGACATCTAAACGATCTTCAGAAACCTCTGCAGCATCATTACTTTTGAAAATATGCAGGACCCGTACAACTAATCGGGCAAAAACATTTTCCGTCCACTGTCGCAGATGCTCTTTGACATGGGAAGGAGATTTCCATTGACCCGCGTAAACACAGGTAACGAACTCGGTCAACATGTTATTCATGACCCCAGCAAATATCTTTTGAGCTTTATTGCCTCCAAGTCCAACTTCTTGGAGTCCTTCTAGAAGGTGCAGTAACTGATTCCGGGTTCGCACGACTTCCTCATGTTCCCCAGTAATCATTTGTAGTCTCCGTTCTGGCGATGGCTCGTTTCTCCAAAGTCTATATGAGGTGGTGTAATTCTGGTCAAGTTCCATGCCGTCACCGCGAGCAATGTCATTTTCGGGGAAAGACTCATCTTCCTCGTTATGAACACCCAGAATAACTAAGCTCTGCCTGGCAAGCTCCTCAGAGAGCAGAAAAGAAATATCTGCTGCAGGGAGCGCATATGTGACAATAGTATGAAAGTTTCGTTGCAGTCGGGTGAAAGTTTCCCCTTGCCTTGTAGAGTCTATCAACGGAGAGATATATAGAAGAAAAGGCGTGAAGTAGATTCTTTGGATTAATCGTAGATACTGAACCAATTTCAATAGGGTATCAGGTTGGTTTCTAACCCTCAATTTCTGAATTGAGAAGAAAAGTTCCAATAACATAAGCCCATGTTTATATATACGAGGTCTGACTTGAGATAGGAAGAGGAACAGCATGGGTTTGGAGGTTGGAGAGGCGGGTGGGGGTGGTATACGAACCTGAACAAGAAAATCTCGAAAATTTGCTAAAAAGTGTCTCCGCATCTCACCCTTATACCATTCCCCCAAGTCATCGTCTTTTGATCCCTCTCGCAAGGCTTTACCAGGAGATGAATCCGCCCACACATAGAACAGACTGTCAGATATTTCTTGGGAAGGACGGTCTTTCGCCCATCGCCTTAACAATGCCTCCTCATTCCTCTCGTCATTATCTTCATATTCATCATTTATAAAACCCTCATTTGGAATTGAGAGAAACGTTGTCGTGGTGTGCCACGATCGATCCCACGTAACTTGCTCGGGGACATTTTCTGGCTCGATTGAGCGAAGTGGGGTTTTTGCCTGCTGTTGAGAGCTGCTAAAGGACTCAACTTGTGTAAATCTTTGGACTGGACTCGAGGCGGGAGTAGGAGATACGTTGCTCAATGGAGCCGGGGGAAATACAGAGTCGAAAACTCGTTTGTGACCAATTGATTGTGGGTTGCTTTGGAACATGGCGTTATGAATGTTTACTGGGTGTGGTTGGCGTGTTTTTAGGATTTGACGGATTCCCGTGAGAGAAGACTAATATCTCCTGCCTGATTAGAGAAGTTGAGCATTGGGAGTTAAAAAAAGACACGACGATATTGGTACCAGGATGGGCACCCCATGTTCTGTCGTCAACTCGCTTTGTGTATGGAGTTGGTTTGATAGGAAGGGAGAGCGCTTTAAGCCGTTTGACGCGTGATCACGTGCTATACATATTCTACCCCGGGCAATGAATCTTTGAAGTTTATATTGCAAATTGCTAACGCAATGATTATCGCAAAACATTTCCTTTTTGCTTCCAGTGATATCCTAGGCTGGTATTAATGCTAGGGAAATTTATTTGATGCTAACAAACAGCATTTTCTGTAGGCTGGTATAAAGCCAGATGGAAAATAGCTGGAAGGGGCTCGTATCTACAGTAAATAATCAACGGGTATCAAACAAAAGACTTTCTTTCTTTGATGAACTTGGGTATCTGTCACACCATTGTTCGACTTCTACCGTACGACAATTCCGAGCTCATGCAAAGGAACCGGCGTCGATAACCAATCGCAAGCAAATCGCAGCAATCATATAAAGAGAGATTCGCTAAGTAAAGAAACAGCAATTGAATTAGATTGCATCAGGAAACTGAAATGGAAAATCTGTGTAACGTAAATAGATCCTCGAGGCAGGTATAACTGTAGTTCGGAAGTTCGTAGTCGCCGCATTCATATGCTATAGATATAAATATATATGTGTATGCGAATATGGTGTGTGGTTTTGGTAGTCATGAACATAAACCAAGCTGACTTTCCAAACTGTCGATGCGTATGTGGCTTCTTGTAGTCTATCTTTATCTCTCCTTTTCATCAACCTTTTCCCATTCACTGTCCGTGCTCACATAGCCGGAGCTATCATGTATGCTTCGCCGTTTCCTTATGTCTTCCGTTTCATTTGGAGCGCGAGACGTCCCTGGGATTCGGGCTGGGGGTGGTCCCATTGAGCTGGAGGAGGAGATAGCTGTCGTTGATGTGGGCTCTCCATCGGCAAGGCTTTCAGTTTCAGTTTCGCTTTCCGTGTCAATCGCCCCGGGCGGACGACTTGGAGTCCCCTTCTGGATTTGTTGGGGTCGCGCAGTGTTCGTGGGTTCCGCTTGTGATCGGGAAAGCTCCACCTCCTTTACAAACCAATTTATTCCCAACCACAAACAACCACATAGAATCGAAAGAATCACAAAATGGATATTGAAAGTTGCGAGAAGGAGAGCAAATAGGAGGATTTGAAGCGCAGCGAAGGTAGCATTTGTCGCGAGCAGGAGGGTCGGGGTTACACCAGAAACAAATATGCTAGACCAGAGGTCCTCGATGAAGGAGGCCATCTGTACAGTTATTGTGTATATTGCTGGTGTTTTCTTTTCTTGTCTCTTTGTTGAGCAATGGTGGACCAGCCGAGCAGAGAGGGAAACGGTAACAGAATGATATCGAAGGAAAAGGACAGATAGTAGAATTAGAAACAGAAGGGAGAAAAGGTATATCTTTAGGATGACTGTTGGTTTATTTTTGCAACGTTTATATGCTGGTGCCTTAAAGGGGAGTGTTGCCGCCAGATGGAGGGGCTGGCTCTGGGGGAATAGCGAACGCGCAAATCAAATCAGATCAAAGTTTTTGGCGACCAAACGGCTTAGAGGGTGTGGTTTCTGATTTTGGCTTCGAAAAGGCTCATTCCAACACAGTATAACGCTCCAAGAAGGGATACCCGCCCCAATTGATGCTGCTGGAGAACTATCTCTTTTAATGGTGATTGATGATGGATATTGACCACCTGATAGCCGCCAGACGCGCATCATTGTTAATCCGACACGCCAGATCACCAACCGGATGCAGATGTTGATCCGCTCCGGCCATCAAATCCTCAACCTTTTCGACCTCAACATTTTCTTACTTTCCGACTCTCTCCAGAACAAAAGCATGCGCCTGCATTGGGCTCTACATGTTATGATGACCCAGTTGCCGCCAGTCTCTTAGGCCTTTTATCCTCTGGACACAGGGTTTTCAGCTTTCTGGCATGTATTCGGTAACTTTCTCAAATGCCTATGAACCTCCGATGACCGAAGTCACAGAACTGGACACGTTTTCCTGGCAGTTGGTGACCTTGCGGAATATATGAACTTGGTCTTTGAGGCATTGAAATTACATTGTATTTTCCATTCGATCTCATATCTTTTGTATCCAAAGCCTTCACGCGACTTTTGGCCGGAGCTTCAGGATTTATTCTTGGACAGTCATCTGTCTTTGTCCTCTATCCGCTAGCAACCACATATCCGTTTATAAATCTCATAGTGGGGGGCCTGGGAGCCGGGATACCCCGTCCAACATTTCTTGCTTGATGATTCACATGTGCAGAAAGTCCTAGGTTCGATAATGTGGTGTTCTCATTTTTGAAAATCTCATTGTCCAGACCTATAGCACCAGTCTAGAGGAGTTCAACGGACCGGGTGCCAGTGCGCACCATGGGTATCCGCTTTACCATTTTTATTGTGGGGGGATGTGGCGGAGGACAGGCAACGCTTACAGTCCCCCATTGTTGCATTCTTCGACCAAAAATCAGGTGTAAGAGTTGGATTGCATCATGCTGCATAATTCAGTGGATTCAGTTAAAAATTTCCCGACAATTTCCTCCTTGATTTTCTGAAGGACAGGTGATGCAAATAACACCGGCTGTTTGAAAATATCGATCTGAGGAGTAGCGAAGATGAAGAGTTAATAAAGAAATTCCGTCACGGGTTTTCCTAAGGAGGTTACCCAGCCTCTTCGTATCGCGGAATCACTGTGAACCTGGGGTATTCGCCTTCCGATACACTCCGGCTCATCACTGGTGCTGATAGAGGCCGTTTTAGCTGGAAAGCTCTCTAGTGGTCACCAAGCAATGTCTCCAAGGTTGGTTTCCAGTTGCAGTTGTGTTATCCGACCCGCTATGTGGTACATCAACAGCAGTTGATGGGAATCTTTACCACAGGAACTGGTAGGCTTCCGAATCTTACACTCAGGTCGGCGAGGTCGCTACACAATTTGATGCGATAAATTCACGGGGTCTAATAATAGTGCCTACTGAGATACCTGGGAACTTACTTGAGCTAAATATGGAGTATTCATCATCGCGAGCATCTAGCACTGCTGCCAGCCACTAGTGTCAACCTACTTTGAGCGAAGGAGCCAGATCCATGCGTATTGCTCGTCTGGACTCAGCCACTGAATTTTCAAATTCCCTCGGTAAGAGCTTGTCCAAAGAACTTAATGCGGTCCCATTCCGTTTCATTCGGCCAAGGATAATTCACTGCTAAATTTGAGGTGCACGATTGTCAAAGGTATATCGATTTCCTTTGGATCAGCAGTTGATATTTGCTTTTAAGGTATTTCATAATCCGTCGTTTTTGTTATTCACCTGAATTGGTTGGGGATGAAATGAAAGGCATTTTATTTCCTGATGCCACAAGTACTTCCCAACAGAGCTTTTTAATAAGCAAGCCTGAATAAATTTTAAAACCCTCGCGGATTTAGAAATGTTTGGAACGTATTGGGAGCAGTGTGCTATTCCATTCAATCCTTCTGAAAGCCACAAGGGAAAGGAGAAGCAGAGTTGAAATCTCCAGCAGCCCTTGAATTATTTGTGCCAATTTCCCAAAAATTTGCTCCCTTGGCTATCCATGCAAATCGTGCTTTGCTCAGATTGACAACATCCCTAGCCTGGTTGGTTTATGGAGAGGTGGCCCCATTAATAAGCTGAACGTTACCAGCTAGATAGGTGCGTATGGGCAAATGTGCTAGGATATTTGTTTTCTGAAGGCTTAAAGGTTGCTTCGAAAGAGGTTGAAAATATTCGGGAATATACTCGACCGTCCATGAAAGCCACTACTATTGGAGATAAATAAGGGAGCAATTGATCTCAGGAAAGAGGGATTTTTTCCGTCGGAATTCAAGGCCGGCCCCGTGTCCTCATTGTTGGTCAGGGCGATGGTCAGAGTAATTCCAGAGGGGAGACCATCTGCAACTTGAATGTGTTTCAGCATTCGAATCAATAACTTTTGATATCGGGTTGAGATCCACGCTCACAGAACCATCTCGGGCTGGGTTCAGTGTTGGGACACAAACGCTGGCACTCTTTTAGTTTTCTAGGACTGGGCTGATGGCGAATATGCTCCCAACTACTCGTCTCTACATATCTGTTATCGATAAGATCCTGTCTTCGATGCCGGTTGAAATGGAAACAGTTCAAAACGGTTTTGGTGGTTTTTCCGAACTGCATGGGGATCTAGGGAGGTCTCATATCCTTTAACTTCTCAAATTAGCTGCAAGTCCTTTTCTACTACTTCGCGATCCCATAGCACTGGCCTTAGGCGAATAAAGACTGGAAATAAACTTCAACTACTGCACGATATTCCAGTAATTTGTTGGAAACAGAAGAGCAAAATCAGCGCAGATAAATGATTCACCGCAATGCAGTCATTTACCCAAGCCTCCCTCCTCGTCAAAGGTGTACCGGAGTTTCCGGATACACCCAGGAACACTGATACTTTCATATGTATTTTTATAATTATTCGTAATCATGGCTGAGCATATGAATTCATGTAGCTGAAGTTGACTGACAGGCAGGCATCTTCAGTTTCACGCTTCATTTAGTTCCTTTACCCTGTCCTTGTGTTGGAGGAGGCGACTGGATCCATAGAAATTGTCATTTGCGACAATACCACTCACGAACTGGCGAAGGCGGTGACAACTCATTTGAGTCGACACGCAGAGGGAAGAGGAATACATAAAATTGTGATTCGTTTAATACGCCAAGTGAGTCGTGTCGCATAGTTTCTCCCTTTGAGAAGATATGAGTAGACGTGTTGGGTTTAAATAAAGTGCTTAGCTTCGATCTGAGGCTAACGAGGATATGTCAGAGCGTTAAATAAGGTGTTATTCTTCTAATTGCTGATTGGCTGCCTTTAGCATCTTTGAACCGACGGCGACATCATTTACTTTGGGTAACTGAATCTATTATTCATTCGCTCAATAATAACATATTATGTGCAGTCGTTTTTATAAAACCTTGAAAAATATCCAAATTATAACTTTCGCGTTGTTTTTTTAAGTTTTGATCTCCCCGTAGTCGGTGGGTTAGACATATTCCATTTCAGTCATTCTACAAAACTATGTTGTCGAAATGCTCCCGATGCCAAGATGAGGATCTGGCCAACATCCCGATGTAGTGAGGTCGCTCTTAACCGATCATCGGTAAAGGGCGATGACGAATAGCAAAAACCCCAGCTCTATAGCCGGATACAGAGCACGAAACCTTTCAAAAGTTCCCGTCATTTCCTGCATAGGTAATTCTACAAGGCCTTTAAGGCGAGTTTTGAATTCCTGCTGGGTGTGCATTGCTCAAGGTACGGGCCAATCCAACACTAGTGAGACATAGAGAAATACGTCGTTTGTAATAGAAACAATTTTGTACGGAGGAGTATGAAGGCATAAACGTGATACTGACTTATTTATGAAATAGGGGGCTATTTTAATACCGGTTGATTGCTATTGGTTCGTACCTAGCCCCGGCGTCTGCTATGAAAATGCGTTACCGATAACCTATCTGCTGTGGAAGAAATCGTCAGCGAATTGCTTCAAGAGTTCATTTTCTTCCATGGCGACAAAGTCTCTGAAGGGTGTTTGTGTTTTACATGAGTCTGCTCAGGGACGTTCATAGTACCATGTTGATATCAAATTTGTTCTGTTGCTCAGTTCTCCGTGGTTATATACTCGGTATCGTGGTGTGTTGTTCAGGGATGGGGGCTTGAGAAATGGCAGGTTACATTGTTGATTAGTATTCACATGATCTGGCGGCTTGGCTGCAGAAGTCAGGGATATCTGGCGAAACTTAAGTTCATCATCTCGACCAACTGCAGGCCACAAATATGACCATAGACAGTTGGAGAATCCACCATTTGTGGACAATGCCATCCAAAACCTTGGAATGTACCTAGGTAGCCTGGAGAGTGAGCGTGACTATCGGTAACCCGTCGTCCTCAGTGCTGGCCAAGAGCTATCCTTGCTCATTCGTTTCAAGCATCGTCACCTTTAGCTGACGCAAATGACAACAATGCCATTTTGAGAAGCAGACTGCTGTTACTGAGAGCCGGGCTGTTGGCGCTAGAACAAACAGCCGGGGCTTTATTATCATCTGTTAGGAGGCGCGCCGTTTTTAACTGGACAAGGGAGAGTGCTATGGAATATTGTGAACACTTCCTGCCATTGGAAGTCTAGGTTGAGGTAGAGGGCGGGGAGACATGTGAGCTCGGGCTAGTAGGGGGACGCTGCCAGCATGAATTTTAAGTAGGAGGAT